CCGCCCCCTGCCGGTCAGAGCCGCTCACGTCGCCCCTAGACGCTCCAAGGGATTTAAGGCAAATGTGACAGCCAGGGGGACGCTGCTCCCGCCGCGCGCCCGGGGGTCCGTGCAGCCGCAATGCGGGGTCCCCCACGCTGGCCCTCTGCCCCCCGCAGTCTGCGGCAGCATGGACATCCGCAACGACGTCTCCCAGCTCCGGAAGCTGGAAAACTGCTCCATCATCGAGGGCAACCTGCAGATCCTGCTCATGTTCACCACGGGCGCCGAGGACTTTCGGGGGCTCAGCTTCCCGCGCCTGCTCATGATCACCGAGTACCTGCTGCTGTTCCGCGTCTACGGGCTGGAGAGCCTGCGCGACCTCTTCCCCAACCTCTCGGTCATCCGCGGCACCAGCCTCTTCTTCAGCTACGCCCTGGTCATCTTCGAGATGCCGCATCTGCGGGACATCGGGCTGCACAGCCTGACGCACGTGCTGCGCGGCTCGGTGCGCATCGAGCGCAACCAGGAGCTCTGCCACATCTCCACCATCGACTGGGGGCTGCTGCTGCCCGACGCCGTGGACCACAACTACATCGTGGGCAACAAGCTGGTGGAGGAGTGCGCCGACGTCTGCCCGGGCATCCTGGACGTGGAGAAGCCCTGCGTGCAGACCAGCGTCAACGGGGAGCTCGATTATCGCTGCTGGACCTCCAGCTACTGCCAGAAAGGTGGGTGGCCCAGAGCCAGCGGGAAGGCGGCAGCAGAGCCAGTAGTTTTGCAAGCCCCAGGGCTGGGGCAGTGGGATGCAGGTGCCCATGGCCAGCGCAGCCGTCCCCTGGCCCTGCCCTGCCAGCGGGAGTAATTGGATCCGTGCTGTATCCTTGGCCGGGGGAGAGGCCGGCTCCCAGCCGCCGTGTTTTCCTGGCGGGAGGTAAATACAGGCCCCTCCTGGGCTCGTTTGCTGTAAACAGCAGCTCTGGTAATGAAATATATACTATAAACACAGATCCTTATCGGGGCTGCAACCTCGGCCACTGCCCGGCACCGGCTGTGCCACGCGGCTCCGCCGGGAGCTGGGGCTCCGCAGGGGAAGGGGC